GAAAAGTGAGTGCCCATCCTACCTTATCCCAGCAATTTGTACTCCAATTTCAAGTTTAAACAACAGAAAAAGTCATTTATACTCTCAGCACTTAACTTCAGCACTAATTGTTTTAGGCATCTTAAAGGAATAGAGATGAAGAAAGTTAGACAAATGAAGTTTGATGCATACGTTAGTTTCAAAACACCTGAAGACGCACAACTTGCGATCTCGAAGCTGAACGGTTTGGAAGTGAAGAAGACTGTCTTAAAAGTGCAATTAGCTCAAACTGAAAAGAAGGTGCAGTCAACATTTCTAGTTTATGAATATTAATTATTTTTGGTTTTGCAGGCTTTCGATCCAAGTACTCAGCAGATAAAACCCAAAACTGCCAGAGAGAGCGTAACAAAGCTGGCCGACGTTCCTTATCCTGAGCAGTTACAACAGAAGGCAAAGGAGTCGTTCAAGTGACTTTTGGCTTCCCTCTCCTGGTGATAGAGTTCAAAGTTTTTCTCATTTTTCAGAGTATGTGAAAGACTTCTCATAGAGATGAAAAAGGCTAATGTGGAAGGCACAGATAAACTGAAGTCTTCTGAGCTTGTAAAGGAGGTTAGTACGATGTTTTATAATCCAGCTCATTAGGTCTAATTTTTGATGTTGCTTTAGCCGCAAGGATTGATTTGTCATATTTTATCATTTTTAACTCTATAAAATGATCAGTGACCTTTGATCTTCTCAGATTTCCATAACATCTCTTTTTCGATTTGAGATAGCTCGGATCATCACTGTTGATTACAAATAACTTCTGACATCGTTTTTTGTTGTCTCAGTATGTCACAGTTATCTCGTACGGCCGCTAATCCATCAACTTCTGCATGTTAGAAGACTCTGCCAGTTCACTAATTTGGTATTATTTCTTATAAGAACAAAGTTGATTTGAAATCACGTCAATTATTTATTGGTGAGCTATTACTTCCTGCGGATTCTCAACTAGATTCTTTGGAATTGATTCGATAATTCTCTAGACCTACATCAACTTCCACTTCTTCAATACGATAAGAATCCCCATAATTAGTTAAAATGTAGGGAAGATGTAAACATTTTCTTTCATAACTTTCTCTTTTTCTTTTTCTTTCATCATAAGAAGTCATAGTGTCTGCATGAGTTCTTGCTTTTTTTT